AGGAGCCGCAGTGAATTTTTCGGGTAAGCAGGGGAGGAATGAGCTCATTTTGGCATGAGCGCACAGCTCTGAGGCGGGTATCTGGTAAAGCTGTTAATGGTCTTGAATTGAGGGTAGCTTCTATTTCCGTGATGAAGGTGGAAAATTGTTGTAATGGGAGAAGTGATGAACCGATAGATTCACGAATGGATGACTTAACAAGTCCGACAAGTCTTTCGTAGAAGCCTCCTCTCCATGGTGAAAGGGGTGTGATGAACTTCCTTCGAATATGACGGCTTGTAAGATAGGAAGAGACTAGAGTGAACGACGGTTGTGCTAGATGACTTTCTGCAAGGTGTTGTCTGCTGAACGAAAGGTGGTAGCATTATCGCTTAAGATAAGTGAAGGTGTGCCTCTACGGGCTACGAAACGGCGAAAGGCTAACAGAAATTCCTGAGTAGTATTGTTGAGCACAAGTTCCAGATGGATTGCTCTTGTAGCCATACATGGGAATAGACAAATCCAAATTTTAGCGGACGTAGTAAAGGTGTCCTTATAACGAAGTGGTCCAAGATAGTCTAGTCCGATGTTCTGAAAGGGTCTAGATTTAGTGACTCTTTCATCTGGCAGATTCGGCATGTCCGGGTAACGATATGTAAGTGCATTGGCCTTTTTGCACGCGATGCAGGTACGTAGGATCTTGGCGACTGTATGTCGGATGGATGGAATATGCTGAACGAAGTGCAGCAATGATAGCATGTACATCTGAGTGAAACTGTATTCGAACTGCATTGGAATATTGTATGTGCATGACGATAAGGGTAGTAAGCAAATGTGATGGTATAAGAGGAATAGGTAACGAAGTAGTAGACAGCGAATTGTCTGTACGACGTAGACAATGTATGAGTCCAGTGGATGCACGATGTGCATTGAATCGATGTAGTGGTAAGTGGTTGAGAATGGACTTACTCTCACGATAATGTTCCTTGATGAGTAATACTTCCGCTGCTGCTGTAAATTCCGCAACTGAAATATGTACAAAGGTAGGCGATTGTTGATCGCTCGTAGTATCCAGAGAAGGGCGAACGGTCAGTAGCATACGTTGAATGAATCGAAGAATGTATGCAGTTGAACGAACGAGCTTGTTATAATGACTGAAGGCGTCAAAACGGATAGGTGAGACATAGGTGGATGATGGAGTAAGTGTTGTTAAAGTCTGATACTCCTGTTGAGTGTCCGGTGAATGTTCGTGCTGAGCAACAAACTGTTTGGTTTGTGGCCAACTTGCTGATGGTAAACGAAGAAACTGTGGACCTGTCCACCAAATGTGTCCTTCCGAAGCTGACGTAGGGATACCTCTCGAAGCACAGTCTGCTGGATTTGATTCCGATTGTACATAGTATAATAGAAACGAGTCGCAATGTTCAACGATTAGAAGTAGTCCATAAGAGAACGTATTTCTTTGATGCGGTTGTTGACGAAAATACGTAAAGGACGATTACAATGTATCCAATGAAGAACGATTTGCGGATCCGAAAAGACGTGAACTGCTGTGATGTCCAATTGCAGTTGTAGGTAGACGAATTTGACAGGACGTAAACTTATAAGTGTAGCCAGTAGTTCCATGCACGGCATGGTTATTGGCTGTCGCGGCCCTAATATGGATTTAGCCATTATAAGATGAACCAAAGTGGTAGACTGTGTTCTACATAGCAGATATACACAAGAAGCGTATAACCGTTGCGAAGCGTCTCCAAATACGCAAAGTTCGAACGAAGTAGGATTTGATGGCATAATACCACGGGGTATTGATGTTATTGGAAGCCTAATATTCTGAATAAGTTGCTTCCAACGTTGACGGTCTTGAGGTTCCAGTGGGTCGTCCCATTCTCAGAATTTCTACCACAAGTCCTGTAGAAAGACTTTGAATGGCGCAAGAAATGGTGATAGTAGACCCAATGGATCGAAAGTTGAAGCAAGTGCTTTTAACGCAGTACGTTTAGAAACTACTGTGTGACGAAGTATACTAAATGGAATAATTAAGTGATCTAAATGAGGGTTCCACTGTATGCCTAGCAGTAAAGCATGCGATGTACAATTCGCACAATCCTGCGGCGCAATGGTCTTATTGACAAGGGTAGAATTACAAAGAAATTGACGGAGATTCATATGCATAGATACAAATAGAGATTTAGATTGTTTGTACTTACGTATTGCTTCTTCTTCCGTAGTTGCACCTAAGAGGAGATTGTCAACGTACGTGTTGAGTTCCATCTCTGTGTTTAGTGGAATAGCTGTGTCGCGACGAAGATAGTAGAGTATCAAAGCTGCTGAAAGAAATGGTGATGCAGTTATAACAAACGGAACACGTGTAAAACGGAAAATCCTTAAGTTACGGTCTATGGTGGTAAAGACGGATCTTTCAACCATAGAAATCTCGTAGAGTCTCTCTGATCGATCTGTAAACGAATCTGCAGAAATGCTTTCTCGACGTCTGAAACGAGTAGATAAAGTGACAAACGAGCACGTAAAAGGTTTCCAACGAGGTCTGGTAGCAGGGATGGACCTGCGTAGAGACAATCATTGAGGCTTGGCGATCCTTTATAATGAGACGATGCGTCGAACACGATTCTAAGTTGGTAGTAGCTGACGATTGTTTGACTACTGCTTGATGAGTGATGTAGTATATTCTTGGGTTGTCCGTTGGATGTTCATGAACTTCCTCGATTATCCCTTGTTTGTGGTAGTCGACTATCGTGGCGCGTACTGTTTCCAGATGTCTGGCTTAGCGGAGAGTGTTCGATATCGATTTTCAAGTCTCGTGAGTGCTAGTCGTCTATTATCCGCGAGTTTCGGACGTGATGACTTCCACGGAAATTGCACGTAAAGATATCCGTTCAATTCCAAGGCTGTATGTCGAAAGTGCTAAAGTACTCTTGCATTTTAGTTTTGATCGAAGAGTGGATCTGGATCGTCTGTGATTCCTATGATATCTAGACTGTCGAACCGCGATATTGGGTCTGTCTCGTCTTGTACTGACGTGGTATTAGCTGCGATGGCGGATTGCTATAAAAACTGAACGAAAAAACTTTGAACCTGAGATGGTTGGCCCAAAACGGGTATGACATAGAACTAATCCTGAGGGTAATGTTACTGGTGTTTCGGTAGTAACGATGTCCCAGAAATAGTCTATTCCTATCAGAATGTCCGGGTTAACACGACGAAGAGCTGTGAGTGTTTCTAGTCGAATATCCAATGATCGAAGCATGGTTTCGTCCAATGCACTAAGTGTTAACGGGCAGGTCGGCACTGTAATCTTGTCCTTGGTGTTGAGGACGAACGAAAGTGGCAGTTTGTGATAGTCCAATAGTGATACGTGGACTTTGCCGGCTCGTTCTGTGGACTTGATTACTCCAAATGCGACTGTAGTTAACATCTTTTGATCGTATGTTGACAGTTGATGTTCTTCAACGATGGCCTGTGATTAAAGCTGGTTTGCGAGCCGGTGTACAAGAGAAGAATGACTGGCTCGTAGTTCTTCTACTTGGGGCTATAGATCAAGGCTTGAACTGTCACGAGAGTACATCTGCGCATTGTATTTGTTGCAGCCGAGAGTTGGATGGGTTCCAGTGATTCGACTGGCTCTGTTTCGTCGTCGGATTGAATGGTCGAATGGACTGATGTTGATTGCCCTTGTGGGTATTGTAACGCTCTTGATGCTGTAGTGTGACCAAGCTGAGCACTATCTCAAATCGGTGACCGAAAGCGAACTGTCGAACTTCTTGATTGACGACGGCTACGCGAAGGGTCTGATGACGGAGTACGATGACGTTCACGATCGCTGTACGATCTGCTGATCGGTGAGAGAGTATCTCGTTTGAGACACAGAATATGGTGATGTTTACCAGAGCAGCGTTTGCACTTAGGATATCCGCATTGAGAACTGGTGTGTCCTTTCCTGACGCATTTCCAACACAAGTCGAGAGCCTTTACTATGAGACGGCGATTATACGTAGACATGCGTTGATGACAACGGGGTGAACGATGATTCGGCGAGTTGCAAAAACAACAAAGGTTTGGATCGTACCTAGGTTTCGGAGATGGTGTTTCCGAACGAGTTGCTGAAACCGGGTTAACCGTAAACTCTGTTGACATAGGTTTACTTATCGTATAGTCGCCTGATTTCTCAAACTCCTCAATAACTTCTTTGAGCCCGTCTATGAGCTCTGGAAGTGTCCAAATCTTACCTGATCGATGTTCGAGCTTGTTTACCTCCAATTGAGTCCGGCGTGCAAACTTGCTCTTGATAAGTTTCATGAGAGACAGCGAGGTACTAGTATTCTCAAAACGATTAAGCTGTAAGATGTAGGACTGGACCTGAGATAGAGTGTCTCTTTGTGACGAGGCTGAAACAGGGCTTTTTAAGCGCCTGAATTGCAAGATGGTAATTTTCAGGTTCAGATGGATCAAAACCTTGAACGATAAGTGCGGCACTGCTTTTAAGAGCGTTTGTGAGATAGATGAGCTCACTAGAAAGTGGTAGGTGATCATTGTCATTTATAGCTGTCTTGAAACGACACCAAAAATCGTGATATTGCGTAGGATCTCTCCAACTTGCGTAGCTGGATTGGATGTACGAATGGAGAAGAGAAAGATGTTGTTGACAATTCTGACGAAAGTCGATGTTGCTTTTCCTTGTCAGCATCCAGTGACTGATCTCCTGCCGAATTGTTGCGCAAGGGTGAGGTGGAAAGAGTTAATGCGGCGGTAGCATTTGCGATGTTATCAGTAATCTGAGGTCGGAGTGAAGTCTCGATGGCTTCATCCATCATGAGCTGTGTATCCAGCGCTGTGATGGTCTCGAGTGCGTCGGTTTCGTGCTTATCGCCTTGCATTTCATTCCAGCATTGATCAACTTCCTCACTAATGGTTGCGCGATCTGCCTGAGTCTGGGTATATAGTAGGAGTGCTTCAAGACGTTCCTTGAGGATTTCCAATGCTCTTTCGATTGCGAACTTGGCGGCTGATATCGCTCCTCGATGGCGAAAAATGTTTCGCATCTGAACTTCTGGAGTAGAAGTAGTGTCGAATGCGGTCAAGTAGGATAAATCGACGGCGGAAATCATCTTGGATAACGTTCCGATAGCCATAGTGACCCGAGATTTGTGTCCGGGTAGAGTAGACATGACGTAAGATGGTACCTTCTAGAATGAGAAGGATGTCTGTCCACGAGTGTTTTCGTCGAAAGGTCTAGGTATTGATCGACGGCGAGTACATGACGACGCAATCATGTGAATCCAATTCGAGTAGTCGATGCGACACCACATGTTGTTATGGACAGGAAGGGTATGATGAGCTTGCAGGACTTCACTGTAGGGGTGATAACGTTTAAGCGACATATTGACAAGGATGATACTAACTGCCATACGCTCCGGAGCGTACTCAAACTTGCGTATGTGCGGCTTGAGCCATGTAGGACCTTTTAGCTAGACGATGCTAGAGGTATATTCGTGACGATTGGCTGGGCCTCCCACATGCCGGAGTCCTGCCCCCCAATGTCTCTCCGCATCCCGCTCCCTCGGTTGCGACGCCCTCACACTGGCATTCAGGAGCTTCCCAAGGGACTGTGCCAATGGCCGACGGTAGTGGCCTTCCCAAATCTGCACCTCTACACGCTCACAACTGCAGGCAAACGCATGGTTTGTGGCCTGTACCCATGAGCCACGTGAGCTCGTGATCTAGCCAATGCTGCCAGAGTAGAATCTTCGATTTGCATAGAAGGAATCGCTGCCACTGATTCCGACGATGACATTGGTTCTAAGGCCGTGAGTCATGAATACCGGTCCAACGTACTAACTGTCAAGTTTTCTGTGCGAGAGTGCGACACCCAAGTCATCGAAAACGCTGCGTGCTATCTCGTCCTGTCAGCTGCCTTTACGTCGTATGCCTTCCACGGCCGACGTGTCTTCGGCGTGTTGCTGGGACGCGTGCAACGCGGGTTAAAGCTTGGGACAACAATAGGTACACCAAGTAAGAAAAGGGCCAAAGGGTCAAAGGGTCCTGCGCTCCAATAGCGCTGTGTCGGCAAATGATGATGGTACCTACGGAATCTATGCACGCGTTCGTGCATCTGGCGCACGGCGAGTTCGATCTCTGCAGCCGCATATGCCTTTCAGCATATGTAACTACGGCAGTATGCACTATGTCGTGACCTTGGCTAGGGCTCCCAGGAGAAGTCTGCATCGGTGGTGGAGCCTAGCAAAGTCGCGGCTGTGGGATTCCTGGTGCCCACGAACCTGAGGGTTGATGGTAGTGCGCCTGTGAATGCTCGTGGCTTTAGCCTATATCCTGCTGCGGGAACTGGTAGGGCCTTCCAACCCTCTAACCGAGCCAACGGTTGATATCCGAGAAGGAAGGGATGAATGTCCCAGAAGAATGACCAACTGGTGGACGTCTGGATGGAATGACTACGATGAGAAGCCGGATGACTTGCCAAGAAGATGGACGAGGATGACGATGGAATACGAGATGTACCGAAGTAGACATGACACGATTATGTTATACTCTTCACATTCTCCAAATAACACAAGTGAATAAACAGACAATTCAGTGTAAGTGGCAATAGCGTATGTAAAGTATAAAACTGAAGGTGTGCATTACATAGCAATGTTAGAGTGCATAAGCATGGTAGTGCAATAGGGAAGTAAGACAGTACTATGGATAAGTATGATGCAATGATAACTACCAAAGTGTAATCTATGAGGCACCAGTAGAAAGGTATGAAAACTAAGGAAATGAAATACTACTAATCAGTATTGTATAGCTACTGAGATATTAGGGCGAACTGCGGCAGTTCTGATGAGATAAGAGTACCTGAGGTGGTCCTGGCGTGTGTCATAGTTGGATTGTCAGTGATAATATCGGTAGCTCTCGGTGGCTCGTCGCGTGTAGTTGAGACGGTTGAGTGCGCAGCCGATCAATGGATTGACATGAGATGAACTGGCGTGCTTTTGGCGCCAAAGGGTTTGCACTCTGCCTTCTAGAGGCTTCTGGCAGATTTGAATATGAGGCGCACGCGGTATCCTTACACCGCACGATTGGAACAGCTTTGCTCGAGGCGTGATGAAAGTCACGACATATTGTGCGCAACTTAGTGTTGGCGGTGTTGTTGACGTTGATGTTGCGTTGGCTGGATTTGGTTCGAACTGCGGTGGTACTAGCACGTTTGAAGCGATGTCGGCGATCTGGTTTAAAAATATTTTACATTGACATGGCATGAGTCTGTCTTCTCCTTTTCTGGGCTGGATTCCGAGCCTTATTGCGGGATGTTTTATCGAGATTTCTTCACCAATGGTGCTGTAAAAATCGGCTATTCTTGTCTCGAACCCCCTTGCAGGCCCAGATAAGAACTCTGCCATCTTTTTACAGACTGTTCCAATGAGACTCCATTCAGATTCCCTGTTCATTTCGAAAGGAGGAAGGAGGTAGAAACAACTCCATCGTCCCTCCACATTGAAGATGTCTTTCCACAGCATGCTGTACGAGGAGCATTTGCTGTGTATTTGGGACTTCATCCGGCCACACCCAGACAAGGGCAGATGAGATACTTTGTTTTTGGAGGTGGTCCGCCAGATCTCCGAAGTGGCTGTACACAATGAATTTTGCGGTTTTGGGCTCCAAAAGGTCAGTCATCACTCTGGCGAACTGTTTGGGGAGAGCGACCATTATAGGATTTCCGGGCATATCATTCGTAGACTCCGTGCTTATTTGCGATCTTCGTGCCATCGCCATTCTGTAGTAGAGCTCGATGTCATAACCTGGATTTGTAGCGAATAACATCGGGTGCGACAATTCGACGTCCTCTTTTTCCTTCACGGCGGAAGCGAACTCATAGCAGAATTTGCTGTGCGCTTGTATCGCGGTTGCTAATCCGTGAATCGTCAGATATTTTGAGTCCTTGTTTAGCAACTCTGCTTCTTTGCGTTCTTCTCCCCAGTGCGGGTGTAGCGCTATCGACGCTACGTTGGCCATTTCAAATAGATTCTTCACTGGCTTGGACCGAGCCAGGTCACAGCAGAGCCCCGGTAGGATAACTTGAGCTCCCGTGTTGAATATTCCGCATTGACAAGGATACAGTAGGTGGAGCGGGTCGAATCGTGGGTCTCCAACCTCGACTCTGAAAGAAGTACGATTAGTTGATACCTTAACATCCACCTTTTTGGGTCTGCCCTTCTTAGCTCTACGCCTGTTTGTAACTACCGGTTCGTTGTCTACGCCCGTGGCAACTTCCGGAGTTGGTCAAAGGGGATACACAGCGGGTCTTTGTTTCCAGTAATAGCCGTTATTGTGGCGCTATTATCACTACCTCGCAAGACTCTGAATGGTCCGGTCCATTCATTCGTTAGTTTGGGGTGGCATGTGTTTCCTTTTTCGGTGGGTACCCGCATGAAGACCCTGTCACCCGTTTTGAGGAGATCAGCCACCACGTTATGGTTTCGATCGTAACTTTTCTTCATGGCTTCGCGCTCTTTTTCATTCTTTTCTCGTGCATTTTGCCACGCTATTTTCGTTCCCGCGACTAGCTCTGAATGTAGTCGTCGAAATCAACCATGTAGGGTGTTCCTTCTCGTTCTGGTACCGTTTCCCACGGCACCTTGGCATCAAATCCGTGCATGAGGAAGAAAGGGGATTCACCTGTT